ATGTAGTGAGTCCCAGCAAGTTTATAATTTTTTTCTGGGTTACTTAGTGGAAGGAGATGGCACTTTTTCTAACAGAGTGTGTGGAGTTTTAGATATCTCTGTGCAAAACTAAATATACCTCTATTTAATGTTCATTAACAGTTTCCATTATCTCTTCTCTTCCTTGGCAATGTATTTTAGCAATGCTTATGTACTTCTGTACTGTTTTAATGAATTTACACACAATTGTCTTTCCCTGTAAATAGTCATAAATCTTATGAGCACTATTCTGTCAATCTACTTTTCTACTTCACAGTAATGTCAAAGAAAAAACAAATCAAGACTTAGTAAGGAGAGACTTTTATTCAAAAGGATTATTACAAAGTGGGAGAAGGGATTGTTGTAATAGGGAGAACCTTTGACCGTTAAGAACTGTGAGTGTCTCAAGAGTTAGGCAGAGTTTTTCTTTTGTAGAAACCAGATGTGGGGAAGTGAGATGAAAGGTGTCATGACTGGATAGGAAATCAAAGACTATTTCACCATGAGGCTAGTTTGTTATCAGGAGGGGTTGTATGCTGGCTCAGGCTGAGGGTGGTCTAATGCTTAGGGGCCTAGAAGAAGGAAAGAAGCTTAATCAGTCTGGTTAACAGCATTTTGTTCTGACTGATCAGTGGAGTAAAGTAAAGCAGTTCAGCTAATCATTTATGAGGCAATGAAAGGGAGTCTAGAGCAGTGGTCTCCAACCTTTTTGGCACCAGGGATGGGTGCTCCTATGAGAATCTAATGCCCGGTAGTCTGAGGTGGAGCTGAAGCAGCGCTGGGGACCGGCTGCGAATACAGATGAAGCTTCACTTGTTAGCCCACTGCTCACCTCCTGCTGTAAGGTCAAGTTCCTAACAGGCCACAGACTGATATTGGGGTTTGAGGATCCCTGGTCTAGAGGGTCTGTGTCTGGCCTTGTCATAGGTAAATGGGGCAGGGGGATCTGTGAGTCTTACCTAACTCATGTTAGGGAATGTTGGTTCTTTACAATAAGTTCTTTTCTGGAACACAAAGGTAGGAGGATTTCTGAACCTCCACTGTTTTCCCAGATCACAGGACTCAAGTCAAATTTATTGTCAGGAAGGATCACTTGAATCAGTTAGGCTTACTCTTAGCTGCAAGTAACAGAAAACTAGACTAAGAATGACTTTAAGAGAGGTTTATTTTTTTTATTTAACAAGTAGTTCAGAGGTCAATAGTTGCTGGCATTAGTTTAGCCAATCAATGATGCCAATAAATCTCTTTGAGTCTTTTCACTCTGTCTTCTTGTGTTTGTTATCTCTTCATCACAAAATAGCTGCTGCAGTTCCAAATATTCATATTCAGAAAAGGAAGAAGGTATTTGTCATATGGCTGCCTCTAGCTGTGTACATTGCTGTTGGGGCTCTTCTTCTTTTTTTAACATGGTAGGTGTCTTTTTAATTTTTATTTATTTTGTTTTTTTGTTTGTTTTTTTAAATAATCAAAAATTTTTTCAATTACAGTTGACATACAATGTTATATCAGTTTCAGGTGTACAACATAGTGATTAGACACTTATATAACTTATGAATTGATCACCCCGATAAGTCGAGAACCCATTTGACACCATACATCATTATTATAATATTATTAACTATATTCACCATAGGGATTCTTTTAGCACAAAAGAAAGGAGTATCATCTGCATCTTCTGGTAATTATATTCTATATAAGATATTGACTGATTCCATACTATTGAATAATTCTTCTACAATTTGAAGTATAGGAAATCAAATGTCCTATAAGTGGAGCACTAGACAAGTATACAGTGTGTTTTACTGTGCAATAAGTAAATGGAGCCATTCTAAGTCGTGGTTTTCTGGAGGAGCTTTAGGAAAAGCCAAGAAAACCTCTTAAGTTATTTGAAATAAATTATTGAAATATTAGTAAGCTTAGAAACATATCTGCAACAAATGTCGCAGAGAGTTTATATCTCTGACTTTAAAGAGATCAATCAATAATAAAAACTTTGTCCAAACTAAGCTAAGACATGCCTTTTCTTATCAAATTGTGCAAACGATGGCACCCAATCCTGGTGAGATGCTTCTTTGCTACTGGTTAAGAGTATAAATTGGTACAAACTTTCTTAAAGGTTTATAAAAAGTATAAAGACCCTTAAAATGTTAATACTCTTTACCATACGATTTATCTCAAAAGAAGCTTTGCTAACAAAAAAATTGGAATTATGGACCAAGTTGGTTCATGTAAAATAATAGATTATTTCAGCAATATTTTTATTTTTATTTGTAAAAATGTTTGGAAATGGAAATAGCTTAAGAAAATAATTAAATTAGGTGTGATCTCTCTCTATAGCTTCAATGTAATATTGTTAAAAATAAGAATACAAGCTGTTTATACCATATTATTCTCATTTTGTAACATATAGAAGGTATTAGTTTACTTAAAAGAAATATGTCAGATATCACCAGTAGATATTTACAAATTATGGGGTTACATGCCATTTTTATTTTCTTTATTCTTTTTGGCATTTTCCAATTTTCCTATAACGAATATGAATTATTTCTATAATTATTAAAAAGTTCGCTTTATTTTTTAAAAGACAAAATAAAACCATAAGTATGTTTGCCAAGATCCTTTTTTAAAAGAAATAATGATTGAAAATGAACTTAGATCCAAGAATTTGGGTGGGGCTGTTTGCACTTGAAAAGAACATTTTATCGATAGACAAGGAAAAGTGTTATGGAGCATTTTGTTTCTCTGGAGTTCTGGCGTTTCTCAGTTCTGCCACAAAGGGAGTGTTTAAAGGAAGTCGTCACAATAGTTCATTCTTCTGTATTCACGTAAATCACACGTTCTATTTTTCTCTTCCTAGAGGGCTTCTGTTTTCTTTTCTGTGATATGTATATGACTGAGGTCACTAGAGCTGGTACTACATTCAGGAGGGGAAGGGAACCAGTTTAAGGAAACAGTTTATCTTAATTTACCCAGAAAACCAAAGATAGCTCATTAAAGGTTGGGGAGATAATTACCTCAAGACATAATTACCTCTTTTGCTCTGTATGTATAGAAAATGGGGCCCCAATATTGCTGAACAAAGAGCTAATTGCCTTCTAAAGTTAATTAAAACATGTGTGGCTGTAAACGTGTGTATGTATAAATTGTCACTATCTTCTCATATGTGAATGTGAGGGCTAGGAGCAGGAGGGAGAAGATGTCTCTCCCAAGGTCCACCGTTTCATTGGGGCATCTGCGGCACAGTATAGAAGGGGTTCAGATCTACTAGGTTGTCATTCGATGATTTGAAACTCTTGGTATAAAGCTTTTAGAGCTGGAAAATCCTTATGAATTCAGTTTCAGTATTACCTTCCATTTCCTGCTAGGTACCTTCACATATATCTGAGATCCCTAAGTATTTATCCCTGGATTATGATGCCACCTGAGCTAGAAGACCCCTGAAGTCCTCTGATCTCTAGAAATAGTCACCAAGTTTATCCCTTGACTTCACCTAAGCTTTCTGGCATGGTTTAAGAGAATGGCTTCGTTCATGCACGATTACCCTATAGCTTTGCATTAGCAGCACACGGAAGTTCAGAATCCATGTAAAGTCTTTTGTTCTGTTTGTTTGCTTTTGCATTGAAATTTAAGAGCCATTGTTTTCATATTAACAGGAGAGCCTTTAGGCAAGATGAGGGTCAGGAACTTTAAGTGTTCATTGTACAGAGAGTGAAAATGTGTAGTGCAGCCGCAACAGCCTAGAACCCTCACAGGCAAGGATATGGCTTAACGTGAAAACTCTTGTTGTACTTTGGAATCTAGAAATGGTCTTTTTCTGAGTAAAAGGGGGCTAATTTGACCTGAAAATGATGTTTCTCCTCTCTTTCAGTCCTTTATACAACAAGTCCTTTGTATAAAAAAAGAAGCAGTTGCTGAAAAATTCTGTCTTAGAATTGATAAAACAATGTTGGGTTTCATTATGCCCCGTGATTATTTAAAATAGTAAGCACCTGTCTCCTGAATGTTAGTTGCCTGTATGACATCCCCTACTTGGATGTTTAATACGCATCTCTAACTCAAAAGTAGAACCCTTGATTACCCCACAGCTCACCAGTCACCTTTTCCTCCAAGTTTTTTCCTAACTCATTTCCCTGGTTGTTCAAGCAAAGGTTCTGAGAGTTAGCCTCAATTCTTTGCTTTCTCTTTCCCCACAGCCAGTCTGTCAGCA